CCCCCCCCCTTTCTCCTCTCCCCGTAAATGTCCTGTCTGCCGATGACATTTTTCCCCATTCATGAAATGATTTAACACCGACTGCGCGAACGGTTTTCTGATATACATATTTCCACGCGGGAATTCCTGACGGCCGGAATAATCGATTCACGAGGCTTCGAGGTTTCCCGGGAGAAGGTTATGTACGCGCGACATTCGAACAAAGGTTAGGTTAATTGAACGCTGACTGAACAGTCGGCTAGTTTTGACACTGTTGGTTGTGACAAATATTGGGCTAAAATTTGATATTGAAAGGAAATATTAATTCTCGACCACGGTCAATTACGCGCTGGTCACATTTTGTTTCGAAACGATTTTTGACACCCTATGTGTCATATAAAAAATCTTACATTTCTGCTGGCGAGAAATTTGGTTTTGAGATAAGGCATTGATTGAAACTGATTAAATTTAAGTACTGATAGAAAGATTGGTTATGCTTTGTTTTAAATAACTTTTAATACCCCATGCGTTATATATGTTGATTAAAAATTTGGTTCTAAAGTGAGGTATTAATTTTGACTAAATTTAACCAAATACTGATAGCCCGTTTATATTTTGTTTCAAATAACTTTTGACACCCTGTTCACGTCCTAAATCTTGACTAAATTTAATTAAGTACTTGATTAAATTTAGTCAACGTTAATGACTCACTTATATTTTGTTTTCAATAATTTTTGACACTATTTTGGTTCTAAAGTAAGGTATTAATTTTGACTAAATTTAATTGAACGTTTGAATGATTGGTTTATTTTTGACACCATATGTATCATTTGATAATCGTTTTATTTATACCAAAATTTCCGAAGAAAATTTATCTAATAAAAGAATCTAATAAAACGCTCAAAAAAAAAATGTAGCGAAGCCATTAAAAATGGCCATCAATCGAGGAAATGCGTGACCTAAGATGATCTTCTATTTAAGAACAATCTTGAGAAATTCCCTATTTCTGATTTTCATGTCTCACATCGTCGAACAGCGAATACTCGTAAATTACAAATTGAAATTGAGTTATAAATAAATTACAAGAACCAAGTGATAGATCATAAGTTGAAATGGTGCACGTTCACGAGATAAGAGCAATCGTTGTCGGTGTGGGAATGATATCGGAAAGCGAAGTACGATAGTCAAACGAAGGAGAGGAAAGACGACAGACGATAAACCATCGGCGCGAGCGGATTGGAATTCCTGAAGCGTGTACGCGCTGTTCCTGTTGACGTGGTCGCTTTGCGTCACATCGTTTCTTATTCCAAATAATCGATTTCACGGCGGACCCATATGTACGTGCAACTTCGAGCGTTTCGAGACACAGGATGCGCCTGTCCCATAGTGATTACCGAATTATGCTAATCAACGGATCAAACACGCTTCTAACGATTGGCAAAACGATTAGGTACCATTCAACTGGCAACATGTTACGACATCGATAGTAGCCGATATCGGAGTTAGAATGGTTGCTAATTGCGCGTAGATTTCGATTAAAACTTTTTTGTTTAAGTGAATTCTACGTGGATGAGCGTGTCGACATTGGCTGCGACTTGGCTTGGTCGATCGTGTGGTGTGGACATTTTCCAGTCCGCTTTTGCAACACACCAATTGTCTACGACTCGGTAACTTTCTAGGCTACGTGTCTCCTGTGCTTGGGAACCTATTCGATTCGATTCGATTCGTCGTTCGGGAAAGCCAAGGAAAAGATATTAATTTCTTGGTAATTGTTAATCGTTGATTAAGTTAGTTTTTAGGTGTCGTTAATCACGCTAATTTGATAAACTTCGATTATCAATTGGAAAAGCGCGAAGATGCTTCTTAAGAAGAAATAATTTCCCTTCGAGAAAGAAATAATTTTTTTAAATTTGGAACAACTCGTTGAGAAAAAATCGTATTTAATTCGTCTAATGGAAATCGCGATTTTCAAAGAACTAAAATAGAATACATGGAACGAATAAAACAGTTCGAATTGATGTTTCAGTCTTCTAAATTCTACTAAAATTCAGTTTCTGAAGAACGTCCCTGTTCCTGAATTTCTAGTGACTGCCGATAGAAGATTCAATGTCCAGAAGTCTCAAAAAGAAAAAGAAAAAAATTACTAAAAAAAAACTCTATTTCACTCTATTTCTCTCTATCTTGCAAATTCTTCTGAAATCTAATTTTTGAAGAATATCCCTATTCTTCTTGCATTTCTATTCTGACTGCCAATAAAATTCAATGACCAGATGTCTGGAAAAAAATTCTAAAATATCTCTCTATCTTGCAAATTCTTCTGAAGTCTAATTTCTGAAAAATGTCCCTACTCTAC